TTGTATTTACTACTAAACACTTTTTCCAACAACAGATTACCCTGTTTAGGGATTTTTAATGATCATATTAAATACAGAAGATCTCGTAATATTCCGAAACTTTAAATTCACAATAAACATGTGAATCTGGTCTTAAATAGAAGAAGAAAAAAATAGTCAAAATTCTATGTATTTAATTATGGGATATACATCAATTTGTAGATGTGAAAAGGATAACAAATTTATGTATACCGTAAATGAAAAAAAAAATTGAATAACAATAATGATGATTAGGGGGACGCTTTTCATCAAAACTACACAGATAATTGGAGGATGAGAAGATAACGATTACCTAATTATTAGTATTAAAAGCTTGTACGGGAAGATGTAAATGTAATCAGAATAATTTCTATATACTAACTTTGACTAGATTCTTTGTTAAAAACTAAAAATGTACTCCATTAATAGGCTAATAATTATACGTATAATTAATTAACTTAGGAGGTGTTATTGGATATTATATTTTAATAGATTTAGATATATTTTAAATCTACCGTGAAATTATGTGTTTTTCAATTGAGTATTTGTTTGATGTAATTTATAAAATCTACTCCCTTTGTATCACATGCAAATTAAAGAAACATTAAATTCTTTAATTTTTCTAAATTAAAATATTATTAATATCCAATTATATACAATTCAATCAATAATAAATAAATCTGCAGAATATAAAGAGTTATGTCAAATCAAATCACATTTAATTTTGTATTAAAAACTGAAAAAATCATCTAATTTGATATAAATAAATTTTCTAAAAAATCAACTAAAATGATACAGAAAGAGTAAAACATAAGCAACAATACTTGGAATGTTGTATACGAGAGGAAGATTTCAGGTCACAATTTTCTTTTCATATTCAACGTTATTTTGATCAACAGATCTAAAAATCACATGTAACATATATAGTTTGTTATAAATAAAATTTTGACAGATTACTTAAACCATAATATATTGAAACTTTTTATTAAAAATTTGAGAAAAAGAAACTTGAAAATTTGAATACCCATTTTGTAACAAATTCTATAGTACTTTAACTTTTTGAATCTACAAATTAACTTGCACAAAACTATTAGTAACTAAGTAACTTCTTAGTTAAACACTAAGCAATATTGTTTTGACAAAATTATTGCTATTTTTCGAAACATAATTTAAAAGGTGGGTGAGAAGACACCATCTCGTTTTGTAGTCGGATCTTTTTTATTTCTCTTGTAAAACTTTTTAATACTTTTTAGATGAATGATTATTGGATTGAACTTAACTTATACGGTCGACGAGATAAGATCATTAGCTTAATAATCTTTGAGATGATGATTTTGGCACTGGTCTTATTCTTGAAAAGAACAATGACATTAAATCATATAAACTCACGACACATGCTAAAATTACACAAGTTCGATCAGTACTAATTCTACACAAACTTATAAAACCATTTTATAGTTATAAAAGAAAGAAAAAAACTACACCAACTCAATAAACAATATTACATGAATAAAATAGTCGTTTTCCCAGTGCCCTACAACTAGATAGATCCGATTCGACTACTCAAAAATGAAGTGCATGTTAGATGAGTTTTAGAATTCAGTATGAGTTGATACAAAGGAGTTGAGAAGCTAATGGTAAAGTAGCTGAAACATAAAGATGTAGCTGTTGAACCAGTTTCTTGTACCAGTTGCAAAGTACTACAGAAAGTGCTACAGCGGACTGGACTGAGCTTATGGGCTTGAAGAGATGGGCCGGACCAAGCTACTCAAATGTCAAAGACGAGCCTAGACGTGGAGTTGAGATGGAAAAGTGCCTTGGAGAAGATTGAGCCGCATTGAAGACCTTCCTTATCTCTTGGCTAAGAATAATGAAAGGTTGAAGATTCTTGATATCTCAACTTAGAGACCAAGGCTAGGTTGCCGTCATAGTGACGTCCTATTATGTATAAATAGAGAGTCATGACCGTTTGTAAGGGTCAACCCCATGATGCGAGAGAATTCATAGTAAAAGGTTTTGGGGGGGTTCTTGTAAGAACACAAAACAATGAGGCTAAGAGTTTGTCTTGAGAGGTTCTTGGATCGTGTATAAATCCATGAACAAGTGAGGCTAGAGAGGTTGTTTTAGGTGAAACTTGTAAGTGCATCTAAAAGATATTCTAGTAAGCAATATGTCTTAACAAAGGGGATTAAGGGTTGTCTTGTAAGAGATCCTTGTCAAATAGGCTAAGGTGTAGTTGGTTCACGGATTACGGATTATGATATATTCTTGAACGTGAGAGGCTAGATTAAGGAGATTGAGTGGAACTTG